GGGAAAAAATCCCGGGAATAAACCAGGAATAAAGGTGGGAACAGAGCGCTGCCTCACCCACAGCGACTCCTACGTCATGAGACTGTGAGAAACCCGGGAAAAATCCGGGAAAATCCTGGAAAATCTGGGAAAAATCCCAGAAAAAATTCGGGAAAAATCCGGGAAAGATCTGGGAAAATTCCAAGAAAATCCCGGGAAAATATCCCAGAAAAATCTGGGAAAAATCCCGGGAAAAAACCCGGGAAATTTCAGGGAAAATAAGCGGGAAAATCACGGGGAAATCACGGAGAAAATCCCGGGAATATCCAGGGAAAATCTCAGGGAAATCCCTGCAAAAAATCCCGGGAAATCCCTGGGAAAATTCAGGGAAAATCCCGGAAAAAATCCCGGGAATATCCAGGGAAAATCTCAGGGAAATCCCTGCAAAAAATCCCGGGAAAACCCTGGGAAAATCCCGGGAAAAATCCCGGGAAAATCCCCACAAAAACCCCGGGAATACCCAAGGAAAATTCCAGAAAAATCCCGGGAAAAGTCCCAAGAATATCCAGGGAAAATTCCAGGAAAATCCCCGGAAAAATTCCAGGAAAAATCCCAAGGAAATCCAGGGAAAATTCTGGAAAAAACCCTGCTAAAATCCCAGGAAAATCCTTGGAAAAATCCCGGGAAAAATCCCCAAAAATCCTGGGAAAATCCCAGAAATTCCCACGAAAATCCCAGAAATTCCCAGAAAAATCCCAGAAATTCCCACGAAAATCCCAGAAATTCCCAGAAAAATCCCAGAAATTCCCAGGAAAATCCCAGAAATTCCCAGGAAAATCCCAGAAATTCCCAGAAAAATCCCAGAAATTCCCAGGAAAATCCCAGAAATTCCCACGAAAATCCCAGAAATTCCCAGAAAAATCCCAGAAATTCCCACGAAACCCCCGGGAAAATCCCATAAAAAGCAGAGCGGGAACGTTGAAGTTTTTTTGGAATTTTTATTGGGGGAAAAAACGGGAATTTGGGGGGAGGAAAATTCGGGATTCTGAGCTGAGGAAAAGGGGGAAGAACAGGGAGGGTGGGAAGGCCGAAATTCCCGAGAAACTCCCGAGAAATTCCGGAAAAATCCCAGAAAAATTCCCGAAAAAATCACGAAGAATTCCCGAGAAATTCTGGAGAAATTCCCAAAAAATTCCGGAAAAATTCCCGAGAAATTCCCGAAAAAATCACGAAGAATTCCCGAGAAATTCCGGGAAAATTCCCAAAAAATTCCAGAGAAATTCCAAAAAAATTCCGGAAAAATTCCCGAGAAATTCCCGAGAAATTCGCGAGAAATTCCTGAAAAAATTGCGAAAAATTCCCGAGAAATTCACAAAAAATTCCGGAGAAATTCCAAAAAAATTCTGGAGAAATTCCCGAAAAATTCCTGAGAAATTCCAGGAAAATTCCCCAAAAATTCCCGAAAAGTTCCCGAGAAATTCCGGAAAAATTCCCAAAAACTCCCAAAAAATTCCCCAAAAATTCCCCAAAAATTCCCGAAAAAACGAACCCGGAAACGCCAACATCGGAATTTTTATTGGGGGAATTTTGGGCTGAAAACGGCGAAAAACGGGAAAAAAAACCTCAGGAATTTTTGGGATTCCGAGCTGGGAAAATCCAGGAGGATTTGAAAGTTTGGGAAACCCAAAAAATTTTGGGATAAATCCCAAAATTCCCAAAAAAACCCGGCCGGAATTCCGAGGAATTCGGGGATTTCAAGGAGAGGGAAAAAAACTTTGGGAATTTTGGGGTGAAAAACCCCAAAAATGGGGAAAAAAAACCCTTGGGAATTGTGGAATTCCTGGAATTTCGTCTTCAGAAAGTCTGGGAAAAGAGAGGGAAAAAAAAATTCCTGGAATATTTGGGATGATCCCAAAAAATTCCCCGATTTTGGGTCCAAAAAGCCCAAAAAAGGGAAAAAAAAAGGGAATAAAAAAGGGAATTTTTGGGGTTTTGTCCTCGGGAATTCCAAAGGTGAAAATTCCCGATTTTTTTTTGGTGGGAAACCCCGAAAATTCCCGGATTTCTCACCTGGAATTCGAGGCTGGAGGAGCCGAAAAGGTCCCGGGGCTGCTCCAGGGGGGTCTGGGGGGGAAAATCCCAAAATTTGGGGCTTTGGGGAGGGAAAAATTCCCAAAAAATTTTGGGGAGTTTTTGGGGATTTTTTCCCAATTTTGGGGGATTTTTTCCCAATTTTTTTGAGATTTTTTCCTGAATTTTGGGGGATTTTTTCCCCAATTTTTGGGGGATTTTTTCCCAATTTTTTGGGGATTTTTTCCCAAATTTTTCGGGTTTTTTCCCAAATTTTTGGGGATTTTTTCCCAATTTTGGGGGATTTTTTCCCAAATTTTTTGAGATTTTTTTCCCAAATTTTGGGGATTTTTTCCCAAATTTTTGGGGATTTTTCCCAATTTTTTGGGCATTTTTTTCCCAATTTTGGGGGATTTTGGGGAGGATTTTTGGGGTCTCACCCTGGGGGATTTCGGGGTCTCCTCTTCCTCCTCCTCCTCCTCCTCTTCCTCTTCTTCCTCCATCAGGCTCAGGCTG